TGGCGCTGGCAGCAGAAGTGAACGTCCACGGAACTAATTAGCTTTACTTTTTCAATTGCGGGATAGAGAGGGTATTATTATCAAAATCTAAAAGTTTTTTTAATCTTTTTTGAATACTAGTGCCTTATGAGGTTGATTTAAAAATTAGTCCTTCAGTTACAATCTTCCTACTTGGGCTCATTTTTAGTTGTCATAATGGTCAACCGCGAACTCATCACTATCAAGGAAGCCCACGTATTGTGACGGGCAACTACGGAACCTTATCTCTACATTATGCGTGGTCCAACACGCACTTGGCCAGTTTTTGGTTATATTTACTAAATTATTTTAGACTACGTAAATAGTTGAGGTTTTGTATACTGGCATTTTACTAACTACTCTATTCATGAAATTTTTTAAATATTTGAACTCAGCGCACTTCACTCCGTCTACGACAGCTATGTAGTGTGTATGTGTAGTTTTTATAATCCAGCGCTATTCTGGTAGGTACTAGAACCTCTATTTTCAGTATACGGTTGGACACTTTCAACTTTTCCCTCGTATGAGACGGTTCTCCTTACCTGTATATACAATACTAACGATATTAAAAATGCAATTCAAATAAAAATAGGAACGTCAATGATCTCGAAAGACCGCGATCTGTCAACTGTCACTGTCACTTGGAAAAGTACGGCTTGTAAGAAAATTAATTTGCGTATTATTAACGTTTTCCCCGCTTTATTTATTCTTTCAATTCAATTCAATTTTATTTATTGCCAGACTGTGGTACATAATATTATGATGTTGTTATTTAACTGAGTCTTATTATTATCAAATCTATTAAAGTCATAATTATTTTTATAAATTAATTTAAACATTGATCATATTAAATAGTGGGTGGATTATTTTAAATACCTACACAAACCATGTTCTATTTTTTACGGGAAAGCAGCAGTGATGATAATGATGATAGTGATGACTACCATAGACTTGAATAGTCTGCGATACTCGCGTATAGACCGATATAGGAGGGACAAGGGAGAAGAAAATTCCTTATAGCAAAAATGCAGGATAGAAAAGGATACCAAATCTCACGACTCTGTAATCGATTTTGAATGACAGATCGGCACAATTCGGAACGCAAGAAATAAGCTCCTAGATATTTTGTAATTTTTTAGAGTGTTATAGTGGTTATTTTTACACAGTAACTTTTTCTAAAATGGTTACTTGTTCTGTGAGTGACTGTGGTGTTAATAATAGAAATAATCCTGATAATTGCACATTTCACAGCTAAATTCTCAAGAAGTTGTCAATGTTATAACGCGTTTATTTTTGGTTAAATTTGTGTTATATTGTTTAAAATATAAAATATTTTCAGTTATATTGTTAATTTTGATATTTTGCAAAGAAAAAGTCACGTTGTTGATAATTTGCATGAATTTGGTAAATATTTTTTATACAAAATTTTTTACATGTACGCTAGGGTGCACGAAATTGAATAACTTAACTGAATTTTTACCACTATAATTCTAAAATATGATATAGACACTCAACTATATCAAAATTAATGCCGATATTTATCTTGTATGATTATATTGAATCGATAGACTTGCCCACACAACAAGAAAATAAATCCTATGTTTCATCATCATCATCATTACAGCCTTTCACAAGTCCACTGCTGAACATAGGCCTCTCCCAAGGAATGCCACAAAGCACGGTCCTGAGCCACCTGCATCCATCGACTTCCTGCATATCTTAACAAGTCGTCACTCCATCTAGTGGGGGGACGCCCTACACTTCGCCTGTCGGACGAGGCTGCCACTCGAGAACCTTTTTTCCCCATCGGTTGTCGGTTCTTCGAGCTATATGGCCGGCCCATTGCCACTTTAGCTTACTAATTCGTTGGGCTTTGTCGGTCACTCTGGTTCTACTGCGGATATCCTCATTTCTAAGTTTATCACGCAGAGAAACTACGAGCATAGCCCTCCCCATAGCTCGCTGAGCGACCTTGAGCTTTCTCATCCGGCCAGCAGTGAAGGACCACGTCTCAGTTCCATAGGTCATCACTGGCAACACGCACTGGTTGTACAGTCTCGTTTTCAAGTTTTGAGGTATACCTGACAAGAAGATATGCCGTAATTTCCCGAACGCTGCCCAACCGAGTTGCATCCGTCGATTGACCTCTCGGTCGAAGTTGGACTTACCTAGTCGTCTATTTGTCCCAGGTAAACATACTCGTCAACAACTTCGAGCTTAGTGCTCCCAACAACTACCGGCATAGGTGTGACATGGACATTAAACATGATCTTTGTTTTGTCCATTTTAATCTTAAGACCTATCCGTTGGGAAACGCTTGTGGGTTGCGTAGGTGAAATAAAATGTTACTCACAGTCTTTTGGTATTTACTCCAAATTATAACGCAATACTATATACATACAGAAGGAGTATAGCACAAGCACAGATAGTTTGTAGGAAATGTATAGAGTACAGAGAAGAAGCAGGTAGAGTACACAATAATAATTTAACAATAAAAACAATAATACGTAAGCGAGCAATTCTAAAGCGGTTAGCATCGAGCAACATGCATTTCGCGTCAGAAGCAGTTTCCCTCTGTCGCCTCTTACGACACCCACAGGAAGATATGGGGTAGTGAGTATTCTTTCCCGCCACTACACGGGGAGCCTCTGTTGAATCCTATGTTTGCTTTCTATAAATGTAATTTTATTTTGCCGGTTGTCAAACAGCTTCCCTCCGGATTCTATAATTAGAAAAAATGGTTAAGGTTGATTGGACAGGTTGGTTGGAATATAGAGAGAAATTCAACTATTTGCAGAAAACATTTACTTAAGAAGTATAAAAGATTAAAAGGAGCCATTTCTACATTATTTGTATCCATTTATCAACCAAAAAATGTATAACCTTACTTCACCACCCGCACCGTACGGTCACACTAGTGCAATATTCATAGCATCACGTTATTTTCCACAAGGGCTTGCGTAGAGGTTTGGTATATTCCCAAGTCACACTGATAAAACTTTTAGCGTAGTTAGATATAATATATTTAGTAATGCTCTTGAATCGCCACTAGACGCCCGCACATGAGACACGCGGTTTAATGTGCCAGGATAGTATAAATTCCATAGTATTTGGTAATCACAACGTTCGATGGCCGACAACATTGTGCCGAGGGCTTAAATAGCGTGGTTCATTACCTACAGCGTTGGTCATATATAAGAGGAACTCGTGGTTAAGTAATAGCTACGCGGATCAATAGATCTCGAGATTAAGTTGCATTTGTCACGATTAGTCCAAGATTGAGTGACCATTTTTTTAACATACCGAGAATAGAGAGTGCATCTGTATCCTCAGACACTTAGTTCACTTTACTCTGTTAAGATGATTATGTTTTTAAAATTCATGCAGCTAAAATGATAATAAGATTATTATTACTTTATACTTTTACGTTTAAACATGAAACATGATGTATCCTCATAAACATATTGGCATTTAAACAGAGCAATCTCATTTAACTGATTCCTACAAGTTTCCTTACTTAAATTATTACGTATACATTTATATTTAAGTCGAATGTTAAAATAAACTTCTATATTGTATTTAATTATTAATTATTAAATGTTTGTAATGTCAAAAGTAATACTTATATGAAAAATAAAGCAACCATTATCCGTGTCCCCGTTTTATATTTCCACATTAAAACATTTTATATGTAAAATATAAATAGGTATATACTTGGTTAAGTATTTACCTATTTATATTAACTATATTATTTATATTAAAAAATAAATTCCGGGGAAACTGTCCATGACAGTAAATATTTTTCTCCAAATATCATATCACGAAAATACAACTTTCCGATCTGATTCTTGTGCAGTGTTTTTTTAAGTTTATTGGTAGAGTCACCAGGGATTATTTACATTTGAATTAAAATCCAACAAGAGGCAGGTAGGTTCAGCTTATTCCCAGGAATACGTTGTGTTTTTTTATTATTTTAGAACTATCATGGTAAAAATTCCAATGTACCAATTTTTTTTTTTAAATCTTGTTACCGCTTCCTTAACAATAATTTTTCGATAGGCCTTGTAAGTAAAATTTACATCACCAGCTAACGCAACAATGACAAATCAAAATTAGTCATGCGTTTTAATATCAAACTTAAAAACAACTGATAGTTAAAATATCACTGAGTAGTACAAATGTGAAAAAGTCTCATAAAATGGTAAGACTACTTTTCTGCTTCGGAGTCTTTCTGATCTGGTAGGATCCACCATAGACCCACCCTCATACCTTTTTCTGCCATGCTACCGAACCACTTTATCGCAATGTAAATCGATAGAAGACTACAAAAATTAAAAATAATATAAATAAAATTTTTTGAAGGAATTCATGGATCGAAATGCTATCTTGCTTTATTTTATCCTAGTAACTGTAAAATACTCTTCTTAAAAGTCGGTTCGCAAAGAGAGGGTCTTTCCTGACATCGTTGTTCGTATGTATAATAAAAGTGGACGATCGAGAGGACACACATGCAAAACAGAAATAGAATGATCAAAACTAAAAATTTCAAATGCACAAGCTACAATCGTATATTGTTGGATTTAGATTGTTCAATCGACTTCCGAATTCGGATCGGCCGCAGTGCGCAAATTCTCAGATTTGGGAGTAAGGAGTATCATCTGGTAATTCTGGTAACACTGAATAACAATTGTCAGTGTTTATCAGAATCAGAGTACTATCATGCTATCAGTCCCATGTACCTTTAATTTTATGTTAAAATTTCATTTCTTAAAAGTTGGAACATACATAGAACTACATTGTTAAAAATATTAAATTAAATATTACATATATTATTTTTAATAAGAATACTTGACGTACATTTATTTGAGTTAATATTGTGTCTTGAATCGTTATTGGTGTATAGATTGATATTATAAGGTTTATTTGTGCAATAAAGCAAGAATATTTTATTTATTGACCATAGTTAAGACTATTTGTGTATTATGGAAGGCAGTAATGATTCTCTTTCTGGTAAGTAAGATTATTTTGAATATACACTGAAGAGCTATAATTTCAAAACGACATTTCTTACATGTTTTAGTTATAACTCCCGCAATGGGCAGTTCGCCTGCAGTCTTGCTAACTCCTGGTAGGACGAGAAATATCGCACAAGATATGGAGGCCCTTAGACTGTCAAGACAAGACAATCCTTATTTACAGGTACCTAAGTGCCTTACATAATTGTCGTATTCTCTAATTCCATTTTTAAAGATGATAATGAGCGCGACATAATTTTCCAGCAAGTTATGGCCAGCAGAGAGAGTCTGATTGAAAGTCATGCCGAAGAATGCGGTTCTGATGACACTATTTTAATGTCACAGGTTAGTACTAATAGTACAAATGTATAATAAAGAAAAAAAATATTGAAAAAAAAAGCTCTATTATTTAATCTCAGTCAAGTTAAAGAATTATTAATTGAATAATCTTACCAGTTAAATGTATCTATTCATGCATATAAATATGTATCATGTATAAATTAACTTTGCACCAAGCAATTAGTGGAAGTGTAAGGGGATCTGGTACACCATACCATTCTATAGGTAACATCAAAATCATAAAAAAAATCTCTAAGGCATATGTTTCAGCAGTGAACTTTTGATATGCCATATTGAATGAATTCATGTGTATATCCAAAATATTCAATTTAAAGACAAGCTTTTAATTCAAAATCAAATGTAATATAATAATATAAAGGATGTTCAAAAAGGGTAATACAATTGATAAAATATGCAATGTATCTGTGCCCATCCCAGAATGAACTGCTAACCTAACCTAACCTTTTTTTTGTGGGGAATAAGTGGATTCCTATGGCTGCAGGGGCAACCGGAAGGTTATGCTAGACTCCTACTGGCTAAAACCCCACAGTTGTCTCCATCAGTGTGTACGAGGGGCCCGGGATAGCCGTTCGGAATGCAACCAGGGCCCCTCTCGCTTTGCTTTATTGGAAGCACGTCCCAGGGGCAGAACTTATTACCCCCAGCACCCTCGCAGTGCTATCTTGATGTCTCAGGACCACTTCCGAGCCTTCGTACTCCTTAGGGGATACGTTACTAGGCATTCGAGGCCCCCGCTCCAAATGCCAAAAATTATTCTATTTGGGGGTACTTGTTTACTTTGTTCATTAATAAAGTAAATTGAATGTAGGTAATTTAATATTCACTTATGACACTTGTCTTTTGTAATGCTACCAAGCTTAATACATAACAATATTCAACCAATGTGTTTTATTCTATATTCTGAACATATTACCTGCAAGCAAAAAAAAAAATAGTGCATACATGAGTGAATTGACAGAAGCATTATATCTTGATATTCAACTAAAATCACATCATTTCTTGTTAGTGCATATAAGCAATAAGATGTTACACAATTATATACAGAGCGGACACTGACAAGGAAATTGTTTTAAACCGACATGCTCCTCTCAATATGGTTAGAAAAAAGAAAAATCTAAATAAACATGGATAAATGCTTCCATTGTTGAGTTGACAAAACAGAAAAAGATTCTATGGGACTCATATGTAGCAGACAAGAAATGCGATGCAAAGTATAAGGCGTACAGAGACTGCAATAACAGGTGAGTTAGTGAAGCAAGAAGACTTAGAAGTCTTTACGAAGCTAAGATTGTCGAGAGTGGAAACAAACCCTTCTATGCTCACCTACGCAGTTGCATGGCTTCTAAAGTTGGTCTGCCGCCTGTAGTATGTGATGAACTTGGCAATCTTGTGGTTGAAGGGTCAAAAATTGCTGAAGCGTTTGCTTGTGAATTTGAGAAAGCATACTCATTGGAACTTGATCTTAATAATATCTCCATCTCTACCAAGAGTTAAAAACTCCATAGATGACATCCATTTCACATCACAGGATGTGCTTATGGTTCTCAAATGGAGTATTTCTCCAATCATGTGCAAAAACCATCACACCTGTCTTGGTCAATATTATGAATGAATCATATGCTTCAGGTGAGGTACCAAAAGACTGGAGACATGCTATAGTAACTCCTGTTTTTAAAAAGGGTGATAAATTAGATCCAGCTAACTACAGGCCAATCAGCTTAACTAGTATTTTTTGCAAATGTATGGAGAAGATTATATGTAAAAAAGTACCTAGCAGATGAGAAAATTATTCCGGATAACCAGCATGGCTTTGTGGAACGGTGCTCGACTACAACTAACCTTCTTTCCTGCTACCACAGATGGGCTGAGGAATTTGATAAACATAATCCTTTGGATATATTCTACCTGGACTTTGAACGGGCCTTTGACAAGGTACCACACAGACGTCTTTTGGTTAAATTGGAACATCTGGGTATCCGAGGAAACCTTCTGAAATGGATCAAAAATTATCTGAGTGGAAGAACCTTTCAAGTAAGAGTTGGAAATGTATATTCATACCGTAAAGACGTCTTCAGTGGAGTGCCACATGGATCTGTACTCGCGCCTACCATCTTTGGCATTTTTGTTGCTGATCTGAGTTCTATAATACACTCAGAAGCCTGTTTCTTTGTTGATGATGTGAAATACTTCGGAAATCCTCTATTGAACCAGGGAACCTTAAGAGAAGACTTAGAGCGTATACAGGAGTGGACAAAAAATTGGGTTATAAGACTTAATCCTTCGAAGTGCACAGTCTTGCATCTAGGTCGAAACAATCCCAGAGAAATGTATAAAATTGGAAATTCAACAGTACAGTCAGTTAACTCACACAAGGATTTAGGTGTCTTAATATCATTCGACCTTAAGTGGGCTGACCATATCCATAGTATTGTCAAAAAGGCAAACAGCATTTTGTTTGCAATCAGACGATCGTTTCAACATCTGACTCCAGATACATTGCTCAAGGTTTATAAAACATACGTCCGACCGCTGATAGAGTATGGATTTCAAATTTGGAACCCCTATTTTCTCAAGGATGTAGATTTGCTGGAGAGTGTACAAAGAAAAGCCACAAAAAATTCCATTATGCCTTCGCAAAAAGCCATACGTAGACAGATTAAAAATATTGAATCTAACAACGCTGAAATCTCGCCGCACCAGAGGAGACCTTATTGAGACCTACAAAATATTGACACATAAATATAATTGCAAAGAGCTGCCACATATTTTTAACATCAGCAGTATCCACCGACCTAGACATCCTAACTGTATGAGATTGGCCCACAACCGCGATACACTAATGTGGGACAATCACACACTAAACAACAGAATTATAAATATATGGAACAAGTTGCCTCAAGACGTGGTAGATGCTCCCTCTGTGATTAGTTTTAAAAACAAACTGGACAAATGGTGTAAAGACAATCCAATTTAGTGTATTCTTAGTGTGAACTTGGACTAATATAAAACACCAACACAGATATAGGCATATTAGCTATAAGCTGCTCGCCTATTACCAGATAATAATAAACCCCAGAGGTCCCGTTTCTGGTAGAGGAACACCATCTTCAAAGGAGGGAGGGGCGTGACGAACGCCTTGATGGTGTAGTCTCCGAGTGGGATCTGTCCTCCTCCAATCCCGCTCAGCAGCTTCCTTCTGGGCCATTATAGACTCACAGAAGGTGGTTACGGCGCTCCTCGCCGAGTCCCCGCTCAACATCGCTGACACTACTGCTGGCAGGGAGAGGTTCTCACGCTCCAGCATTGGCGCTCATTCGCTGGCGATATGTGGACATATCGCCAGCGGATGAGACGCGGAGTCCTGGTTCTGTCCACCGCAGTGGAAGTAGTTCGCCGTCGCTGTGCGTCCGATGTTACACAATTATTTACCGAAGCACCCGTGCCCGGTAATTATGTGTGTATGTCTAGATGAATCCTACTCGTCGCTGCATCCAGGCTTCGAAGACCGGCAGGATTGCGCCAATAACACGTTTGCGCGCATAGCGCTTCTCGTTGAGTCGAGTGCGCCATATCGCTAAAGCGTTCTGTCACTTCTGCCGTTTTACAGATTCGAGCACCTCATCTGGCTCACTGCTACCTCTCTGATGGTGGATGCGGATTCTGTGTTACACCCTCGCATCCATATCCGCCAGTATATCTAGGGGTGGAAAGCGAGCCAGGACTGTTGCCGTCTGAAAAGATATTGTGCGGTATCCTCGCATGATCCGTATAGCCATCTTCCGCTGGACACTGTAGATTTTAGATCTACAGCGCTGGATGTCTAGCAACCTAACCTAACCTAACCCAACATTCTAGGCATGCACTATTAAAAATTTAGTTTAATGCTATAATCAACATAAATATTTTTGTTTGTTTAAGTAAAGGATTATTCTAAAAATCAATGGTCTACATGTTACTCTAATAGGGCCTCTGACACATCCGCCATTGCTTTTCATATTTTTTTAAATTGATGAGCTCTACCCTAAAGAATAACCCTAGATATGATCCTTATAGGGATTGCAATCCGGAAAATCTGATCCGGTAATCCGGCGGATCCGGCATCATTTAACGTTTGCCGGATTCGGTACCAATATACCGGATCCGACGACCGGATCCGGTGCTAGCAAGTTTTGGCAAAATAATAGAGCTGTTGCATAAGTAGTTACTCTAAATGCATGGTAAAAGAGATTCGACCCTGTTAACTGCAGAAACAACGCTAAAATTTGTTTTAAAGAAGTTGCTCACTCATGACACGGTGTTAAGTACTGAATTATATAAAGCACTACGTACAATGATTAAAGAACGCCGCACTAGTAACAGGAATGTTAATATACTTACAGAATCCAAAGAAATATCATGAAAATGTAAACCGATCTGATGATACATTTACTAAGCCAAAGAAAAAAGCCATACGATTAGAAATGACAAAAATCTTAGAAAGAGTTATTAATATAAGATTATTAATATAAGATGATAACTCTAAACATACTAAAAAGAGATAGATTTTGACAAGTACTAAAATAGGAAATGATTATATTTGAAAGTGATGGAGTTTGACGAGAATACTTGTCTGCTATTCATGATTATTTACTGACAATAAAGCCGACAAGTGTAGAAACTGAAAGGGTCTTTTCGGCCGCAGGCTATATTTGCAGCTCTATTAGAAGTCGACTAGCAGATGTCACAATTAACACTATTTGTTTTCTACGATCCTTTTTTCAAAATCAAAATTGTTTTTCTTATAATATATAATGAATACGACAATTATTACTTAAAATTCTACTTAAAATAATTATTTATCGTAAGTTGATTAAACTAAAGAGTTGTAATTATAATACAAACTCAGTATTGTGATAATTGTGACATTCATTAGAGAGATTCATCAAATCATGATAATATCTGTCATAAATATAAGACTTGTTTGTTAGCATTCTCAAATACTTTAATAATTATTGTGATCTTGTATCAGTAAATTACGTAAGGTTAATTATATTAGGTTTTATAAAGTTACTAAAATAATTGATCTATTTGTGAAAGTAAAATCTAAGAAGACCGAGTTACTCGTTACATCGTTAAAATTTTACTAGTTGCCTACACTACTAGATTTTGTTTGCTCGTTGGAACCTTAACATTGGATCGGAAATAAGTTAATTTTATGTACATGTTTTATTATTTATAAACTACCTAAATTACGTACAATGACACTTGATTAACTGACTAATAGTTCCTTTTGTACCGAAAATCAACCTGATTTGATCAATCCGGCCGGATCCGGTCCGCTCCGGCCGGATCGATGCGAATTCAGTCGAATCAAGCCGGACTGAAAATGACGCCGGATTGCAATCACTAGATCCTAATAGCTTGGGTTCAGGCTGCTGTAATATATTTGAACTTATAATGAAACATTATGTTTAGCGGATGATTGTAAACCAATATTGTAAGTTGTATTGAGTGAATTAAGGAGCAAGGATATGGACCCCGATTTTCTTCAAAAAATCTGGTTCTTTTCTTGGCAGGTGATGTTTTTAATGTCTTAAAATATATTTCAGGAATTTGGAAGTGCAGCTCTGAACTTTGTTGAAGACGACCCATTAACACTGAAAGAGGTGCATGAGCATATGATTAGATCTCCACCACCTGCAAGTTGCTGGCCGCATGGTAATTATCATTTACACATTCCAAAATTTTACATTATGGTTTAACTCATTTTAAGTTCTTATGTCTGATTATATTTCGAATCTAGGTCACGACATTACCTGTGTTATGGTATCGGGTATACGCTCAACACACCCTTGCGATTTTGTGACTGTGTGGTGTAAGAATATCCACCCCATATTGTCCCATGGGTGTTGTTAGAGGTGACGGAGGGAAATCAACCAGGAGATGAGCAGCAGCGTTTTCCTCATATCAACTAAAAATAAAAAATAAACTGCAGTTTCCCACCTGTCCGCCATGCGTGGCAACTATGGCAAACTATGGGGGAGGTCTATGTTCAGCACTGGGCCTTTGATAGGCTGTAATGGTAATGGTGAGTTCTTATGGTTTTAACAATTCCTGCAAAAAGTACAACAATTCTTTCTATAGTAGTTGATGTTAACATTACAATATTTATTACGTACCTTCCAGTGAGCCTTAGAAGCCCAGTGAGTTATATTTTCCTGTTTTGAGATGTACTGTTTATCAATAACAAGCTAACAATTTATCATTACCTCATGTAAACTTTATTGTTATAGAGAATTGCAGAAGGTTAATGTTATGAGATGTTTGAGTGAATGGGATGTTTATTAATAAATTATCAATACTTACTAAAAAAACTTGTAAACATAATCAATATTTAATGTTTTACATAAAAAGATTTTATTTCACTTCAGTCATGTTTATTATGTTTATCATACTGTTTGTTTATATATGTCCCCGAAAGATTTAAGATTTGATATATATATTTATATTTAATATTTTACCTACCTAATCCTTTTAAATAACACAATTATTATTTTCTTCTCACATCACGTTACTATCTATTAGCTTTTACAATAAATACACAAATAATACTTTTAATGAATGCTTCTTTTCAGTTTATTATATAATTATGATAAAAGTTGTGATTATAATTTATTGTTAGATTAGTACATTTTTTTCTTTCACCTTGTGGTCCCTGCTATCTACAAAAAAATCAAAGTGGTCCCTGGTTAAAAAAAGTTTGGGAAACCTGGGTTTAGATCAATCAAAGGAGATTAGTTTTATGGCTAAAAATTCAAACGCTACTCCATTTTGTCACAATCACTATGATTTAAAGAGTTTGAACAGACGGAGGCCCCAAATGCCAGCAATGTAACCTCCGAGTAGGACATTACTCGAAAGTGGTCTCGAGACAATGTGTTAGCACTGCGAGGGTTCTGGGGTCAGCAAGGAAGGGGGTTACAATCACTTTGAGTCAAAATGATTGTGACACCATTATACTTAACGACATTTTAAAATTGAGTAGCATTTGAATATTGGGGCATTAGTCATATAATTATTTTAGGATTATATATTTATTTTATATTTAAAATATAAAATAAATTTACAAAATAAAAATAAGTGCTCTTAGTATCTGTTACTATTTACGTAGAAAAAACTTAAAATAATTAATTAAATATCTTTAAAAAAAGGATAAAAATTAGTCACTCATTATACGTAATTACTGAATTTTCATTTGTTTTGTGATCCGGTGAAGTAAACGAGAGAATACGAGTGAGAAAGAACTAGTGACGTAGGTACTGTATTAATGGTGGGAGATGGAACGGGAGCGTATTACGTAGTATTTTCTAGTACTGTGGTAATAAAGTTAGGCTAGTTTTTGGATAAAAACAAACCTCGATAACATTGTGATAGATAAATAATTAAAAAAATCTGACAGTGCCATTATCACAAGTAACATCTGCTGCAATTGTACTTAATTTTTTTTATAGTACTTACAAAATAGTTCATAAATTTTAGCTGCCAGTTTTATGTATAACTCTCTAACTTATAAATATTTAAATAATTATTATTCTACTATTTCTATTATCAATTGCTTTGAATAATGTATTAACAATTTATTTACCGCTTTACTATTGGATGAAGAATCGCTGTCGTACCGCGCGTCGAGTGCTTTCGACTTCGCCGATTGCCCTGTCTCGTACAGTGCTTGCTCGGTCAATGCTCAGGAGAAGGTTACTAATATTACTGCTTTTTGTGCTGTTTATTTAACATACCCTGCTTACTTTGCATTTAAATTTGTCAAATTCATGATTCATTATCCATCGCAACCTATAAAAGTTCTATGCTGGACATAGGTCTCACCAATAGATTGCCTCATAGGGGTCATTTGGCCATAGTTGCCATGCTTGGCAAGCACCTTCGTAACCGCAGTTTTTTATAATTTTGAAATGCTGCTGCCCATCTCCTGTTTCAGTTTTCTCTGTCATCTATTTCAACACCCACAATAATGAACGAATAAATAAACTGAATCAACATTTAAAAATGTTTAATAAACAATAGAATAAAGTACCTTAATTCTGTTCACTATTGTGTTAAGTTAATTATAATAATAATAATCTCGGGTCATCTGAGGCGACTGGGACTCCGTGACGGACCGCTCCAAGCTCAAATGCGCCCGCATCGTCCGGATGCGGGCGCATTTGAGCTTGGAGCCCAACCAGATGAGAAAATTTTATAGATACCCCATAATAATAATCTTTATTGAGATAATATGAGGTTACAAATAGCATGTGAAGCCTCTGAATCCTAAACTACGTAAGAATCTGTATGTCAGGATTCAGCACCTTCTCGCATGTTTCTTAGCCTAATTCAATTCAAGACAATTTTCCAAAGTGTGTTTCCAGAATAAGCTAATAACAGTAATTCTTAAAGAATGTTATTTGATAATTTTGTGTGTTATAAAATGGATTATTTTTAAGATCATTAAGGCTGCTGTCTTGTAGTATGAAGTGTAGGTTTGAAAGCGTAACCTCACTAGCTAAATCTATCTAATCTAAAATATTACGTAAAAAGCTATAGTAACTTGCCGTTGTTCTTTATTACATAAATATTGTTTTTGTTTTTTTTTTTAATAAATTAAATCGGATTGAGATGAAGATGATCCATTGAATTGAAAATGAACTCATAACGCATAGCAGCGTCTTCCTTATATCTATTAAAACATATAAAAAATGCGGTTACCAACCCCCATGTCAAGCTAAACAACTACGGCAAATATTACCCCTAGAAGGGAATCTACGGGGAGATCTATGTTCAGCAGTGGGCTTTTGATAGAATGGTACTATAAAACTTAAGCAAAATGAAATTTCATGTAAATAACTTTTATTGTTGTAATTATATTTCTATAAATATTAAGGTATGTCTTAGGAAACTCTTTATCCTATTATATATTTATTTTATAGGAAATATTGCCTCGATCTCCGAGACGCGGTACGAATCGACCCCGTTCATCTCGCTCTGCCTCTCCGCGGTCACATGACCTAACATTGTGTGGTCGGCCATTATCGTTGCCAGGTAAGTTAAATTGACGAATACACTATTCTAAAAATATAGATGTGATATATCTTTGCTTCTGACATAGTTTTTTCAACCACTTTAGAGAAATAAAAGCAATATAACAACATTATAGGCAGAGAGATGAGAACATACATGATAACATTAAATATAAGTAATTTAGGTTAAATAAGTTTTTTTTATTTTTTCTGCCGACTTCCAAAAAGGAGCCGGTACTCAATTCGACTGTATGTTTTTTTTTTCGTTTTTTTTTTATGTGTGTTACCTCAGAACTTTTTTCTGGGTGAACCGATTTCGATGATTCTTTTTTTATTTGAAAGCTGGTACTTCTCGTGTGGTCCCATATGAATTTGATCAAGGTCAGACCAATAGTTTTTAAGTTATTCTTAAATAACTTATATTGAAGTCGGCTGTACAAAATTTTTAATTTTAAATTATTTTAAATTAGTATGTGGCTGGAAACGCGTTGTTGAAAGCAAACTATTCTTCAGTTTTAATAATAAATGAGTCTTCAGTCAAATATGGGTTTGGTTTTGGGTTAAATATAGTCAGTCCTTAAATAGAGTAATTATATATTTTTCTCGGTTGTTTTTACTCCATCTTTCGTATATTGAGAATTATCAATACACTTCTTAATTCATTTGTTTAGGGGAAAGCCACCTTAGAAACGCACTTAACAAAAAGCCAGGCGGGCAACAATCCGAGCGTTTCTCTATCCTGCAGCATCCGCGCCCTCTAAGACGGCCGCACACCAGTCGCCGGGACGAAGACAGCATCCATCTGGTGCAGGATTGCGACAAATAAGGCTTGTTGTGGTCAGTTATAATGACATTAAAGTGTTTATTGTGTGACATCGATCGTCATGTATCAAGATTTATGGACAATCCAGTCAATAAATCTTCCTAAATATGAGACAAATCGTCCTCAAGTAGGTGACTTCGAAAAAGGTTCGGTTTTACGAAGTAGGGAAAGAGTGCGTGTTAATTGTTTAGGGTTACTGTATTTAAATATTATAAAATTTCACACAGTCCACAGCAGTGATAATCTGATATAGGTATGATATTTTGAATTATCTTAACCTATACCTATAGATGAAAGAAAACTAGTATGGATTTCCGAAATACGTGAAAGTGGATTATAAAAAAGGTGATACCGATCAGGCATAATAAGGTATAATGATATTTTTAGTCAGTTTGAGATTTTGTTTCGGTGATTCAAATTTATACACACATATTGGTGTTCGATATAAATATCTTATTAGTAAAAGGTTGCACCCTAAAAAGTATTAAAATTGTCTCAAATACTAGTGGCTCTAAATATATGATTTATCATCAGATACTTGAGAAAATCATTTTTAAATTATTTTAATAATAATATTAAGGCGAGGATTTCCAACATTAAAAGGCTTTTAGCGCTCCCTTCTTCGCTGCATGCATATTTGTCCAGCACGAAGTGAGCGTGCGACTTTTGAAATTAACCTACTTTCATACTATCGAAAAATATTTTATGGATACCGTTTAAAAAAAGCGAGAACTCGAACGTCAGTGTTTTCCCGGTGAATATATTATAATTTTTTTCTTGATTAATAGAAAGTAGCTATAAAAATCCATTAAAATAAGAATTTCATTGAGTATTTCATGCATGAGCAATATTTTTTTCCGAGCACATACCTACTATCTCAAGAAGTATCAATTTTCGCGTGTCACAATCGTATTTATAATACGATATTTTGTCCAACCTGGCCTTATGTGGTAACATAAAGTTACCGCCTTCAAAGAAAGTTGTTACTTTGTTATAAATAGCGGAATAAATAAGTAGTAGCATTACCTCTTCATTATATTGGACTTGTATGCTCAACATCCTAGTCTCTAATTGTTGAAAAATTTTTATAAATATTATGTAGTTAAATTTGATGATTCCCCATGATATTTAAATTAGTGTAACGTTTACATTACTTACTTAATTTTTTTAACTTTAATTATTACAACTTATGGTAGTTTTTACAAATTAATGTGTTGGCAACACATATTGTTAACCATCAAACTATTTCTTTAAAAGTAAATTCGTTTGTCATTGTATATTTTGTAAATGTCATTTAAGGTGATGCCGGATATATATTTGTGTTTATGCATTGTAAATATTGTTAAAATGCTCACAACAGTAGTATTACTCATTGCAATGGAAAATAGTATAATGACTAATCAAAATATTGGGATAAATTTAGTTATATTAAATTATTATTGTAATTAATTAGTGTTACCAGTTGTAAGCTTTATTAGGTTGTTTCAATGGAACATATTAATATACTTAAGCCCACTGCTACAGTAGTTGTCATATTTAGTAATACATTACACATAAGATTGTACAGTTATTTTGCAGTCATAAAACGCTGGTACGTAATGATGTTTTTTTAATGAAAATAATAATAATAATAATAATGCATAAGTATTAGTTACCTTGTGCATTTACTCTATTTTTAAGATTTTTAGCTAAATTTTACTGGAGTAAAAATTTTTATAATTGGCATTTAGAAAATTGAAAACTTTTGTTGATTTTTAAATTATAAATTAAAGAAAATATTCCGAAATTTAAAATTAAATTAATATTTTTTAATTATTATTTCTTAGTTATAATTATTTCGTTACTAAAATATGACTTTTTATAAAATTCACTTAATTCGGGTGTAAATAACGATAATGACTCTTAGTCTTATCGTTTTCGAAGTGTCCTTTTTTTGAATTTGACTGAACTTTGGTTCCGGAATATGGCTTCACCGTAATTCTAGAACCTTCAACCAACCTTCAAAAAATTCTTGACTTGAAAATCCAATAACTGATTTTTGACCTGGTGTTCGAATCTGGGGCCCACATGATCTACAGCCGAACGTACAACCACTAGACCAACCAGTCAGTCAGAATTATGCTTTGTATTAGCGAGCTCTTAGAACCGAGTCTGGATCACTGCAATAACGGAGTAGTGATGTAATCGTTTAAAACCGAACTAGAAAATTCAATGCTTGTACATACAAGTTGTAGTGCAGCACACAATATTTCTTTTAACTGAAGAATAAGTTACGGATAGAAATTTACACCTTTAAGCTTTTACTTGAGACAAAATGTAAGGGCGCAGGTAGCCTATTATGCTTCCATAGTGTTTTCTATAACTCTGTGTCAATTTATATATTTTTCTTTTGCCTTTGATGTTAATAATATATTTATTTTATCGTAATGTTCTGCTGAAAACTGCTCCTGTTCCTCAGAACCGCCATAATTTGCGGATACTATTAAACTAACGAATACATTTTCTTCAGTAGTAAAACAAATTATGTAATTTAAAATATACTTAGTATATCTCACTTGTATATTTTATAAGTCATTATTTAAGGTGCTCTTGTGGACGAGCTTAATTTGAAATTATGTCTATATATAATTCACAGTCTATATTACTTGGTAATTCTATTAAATATGTTATTTTGTAATGTAAGAAAAATACTCATTTAATTTAATAAGTCAATTGAATAGGTAAAGTTGTAAAAAGCACATCCAAGTTTACTTGAAAACGTTAGTTAAGTTTTTAGAAAATTTGAGTAAGAATTTTACTGACATAAATGGCAACATTTTAAAGTAAAATGATGTTGTGATTTCTTTTGGGGTTTTGGCGGGAACTTGACCGCGAGTTTTTTTGTTTGTGCCATTTATTAGTTAACTTGAAGAAATAATCAAGGACAATTATAGTTAAAATATTTTGTTGTTTATGGTACATGAATGTGACCAAAGAGTAACGTGTTTTTGTTGGTTATTAAGAGAGATTAATATGGTTGATTTTAAAATAATTTTTTGTTGTTATTTTCTACTTTAAAATGTTTAATCCTATTTATTTATTTTATTCACATAGGTTCATTTATAAGCTCTTATGGATGGTCAAGCGAAAGAAGAAATATAAGAGAAACAAAAAAAAAATACATTTTAACAAATCAACTAATTTAAACAGATAAATGTCAACATCATATATACAAATTATAGTCATAAATAACAATAATAATTGAATATGATACCAAATAACATTATTTTGTTTAAAATAATTATGTGTGGAACATGATTGACTTTCAGATGACCATAGTTTATGTCATTAATGTAATTGTCAATTGTATAATATGCTTTTTTTAATCAAAGTGTTTTTTACATACTTTTTAAATTTATGTGAAGGCAAGTCAAGCATTGAAACAGGTATTTTGTTGAAAAATCGAATGCCTTGTGCCATAAATCAATTGTAAGTTTTCTTTAGTCTAAAAAATGGTATAACAAGTTTATTTTTATTTCTAGTAGGTCATGTATGTCACTATATTTATTATACGTATGTATATTTTTCCTAACAAGTAGTATTTTAGAGTATATGTATTGAGAAGCAACAGTTAATATGCCGAACTCTTTAAAACGTTCCTTTAGAGACACTTGTTAAATGAAACGAACCGCTCTCTTTTAACAGCAAAACAAATATCATATTGATGTCCGCTGTCAACCCCCACAGTAAGATACCAAAGGACATAACACTATGGAAACAACTGAAATACACTAAGCGAGCAGTTTCCACATCTGTTAACTGTCTAATCCTACGTACTGCAAATGCAGCAGAACTTTATAATAAACCTTTATTACATGTGGTATTATTTGCTCTGTCGTTTTTAATTCCTATTAACGTTTTATATGAAGGCGTTCTGGTTAAATCGCTGGTCGATTACCAGTTTGTATCAAATTACAGATGTTAAGGTAATAAAGAGATATTTGGTCATGATACACTTGTTTTATTTTCCGATCCTTAATTACTGTGCTGCTTGAAAGCCATCGCAGCCAGAAAACTATTTTTTGATGATTCATTTTTTTTATAGAATAAGGGTGACGAACGAGCACAGTCCACCTGATGGTAAGTGGTTTCGTGTGTCACCATACGAAACACAGCAGCATTAAGCTGCTATTTTACGCTGGTATTCTGTGAGAGCGTGGTCCTTCCCCGGTCGAACCGACCCATTCGTGCTACAACTATACTATTAATATAGCTGCAGCATGGCTCTACCATGTAAATTCGTTACTAAACGTACGTAAATTCGTACGTCATTAATATTTAGAATGGCTTCACGGCTTATCAATAATCCACTATTGAACATAAGCTTCCTCCATTGAAAGCCTATTAGGGGGATATTAGCCGTACTTACCACGTTTGGCAGGCGAAAACTAGTTATTTGCTACCATACACCTAGCTAAGAACAACACTGAACACTGCTGGCCGTATGAGGGAGCTCAAGGTCGCTCAGCGAGCTACGGAGAACGCTATGCTCGGGGTTTTTCTGCGTGATAAACTTAGAAACTAGGATATCCGCAGTAGAACCAGAGTAACCGACATAGTCCAACGGATTAGTAAGCTGAAGTGGCAGTGGGCTGACCATATAGCTCGAAGAACCGACAACCGATGGGGAAGAAAGGTTCTCGAGCGGCAGCCTCGTACCGGTAGGCGAAGTGTAGGGCGACCCCCCTCTAGATGGAATGACGACCTGGTAAGACATGCATCCAGCAGGTGGCTCAGGGCCGTGCTTTGTGGTGTTCATGTTCAGCAGTGGAATGATGAATGATGAAGAACAACTAAAAGTCCACAGCTGGGTTTCATAAGTAGGCGTTTACGCTTGACAGGCGGGTTGGTGATTGGAGGGCTTTTTTATTCAATTAACTTTTTTTTTTAAATTTATTTTGCGAACGCAGTAATTACAAAGTAATAACTAATATCAAAATATAGTCACACTTAACATTAATATA